AAAATTCAAGTTGGGGCAACCAGAACAATCAGGGTAATTGGAGTGGTAATAACAACAACTGGGGTGGAAACAACAATTAGGGAGGTTGAAACAATAGCAACCAAGGAAATCGGGGGCAAGGTTTTCAAAGGCCCCCAATGTATCAAAAACCGAACAATACACCCCCTTTTCCATCCCAAGGTGCTAATTCTTCCAATAATAAAATTGGGAGAATTGAAATGATGTTTGAACAGATGATGAAAAAGAATGCTGACTCTGATGCCCAGTTGGCATCCCACAATACTTCAATCAGAAACTTGGAGGTTCAATTAGGCCAAATCTCACAATCCTTGAATACTCGCCCTAAGGGGTCTCTACCTAGTGATACAGTAGTCAACCCGAAGGGTGGGAACAATTCCGAGCATGTAATGGCGGTAACTACAAGAAGTGGACGAGGCGGTGATGTGAATGCCTCCAAACAAAAAGAAATTTTGAGTGATGAAGTTGAGTTGCAAGAGGATGAGATCCCTTTGGTGGTTGAGAATGTGATTGATGAGAACGTGAATGAGGAAGTGAGGATTTATATCCAAGATTCCGAGGTGGAAACTTAGAATGACTTGAACCTATCTAGGGAACATGTAATAGACATGCCGGAACCGGTTGTGCCTAAAGAAAAGGCCCCTTTGCCAAGGCCACCTCCACCGTATCCTCAAAGGCTTGCGAAGCAGAAAAATGAGAACCAGTTTAAGAAGTTCATTGACATGATGAAGAGCTTATCAATTAATGTGCCCTTGGTGGAGGCTCTAAAATAAATGTCGGGGTACGCTAAGTTCATGAAAGACTTGGTGACAAAGAAAAGATCCATGGATTGTGAGACCATCAAGATGACTCACCAAGTTAGTGCAATAGTGCACTTGATGGCTCCGAAGCTAGAAGATCCCGGCGCTTTCACCATTCCTTGTACTATTAGGAGTGCAAACTTTGCAAAAGCTCTGTGTGATTTGGGGGCGAGTATCAACTTGATGCCTTACTCCGTTTTCAAGACTTTGGGTATTGGGAAACCGAGGCCAACTTCCATGAGATTGCAAATGGCGGATAGAATAATGAAGAGGCCGCTTGGTATGATGATGTTCTTGTTCGGGTGGACAAGTTCATTTTGCCTGCTGACTTTGTGATCTTGGACTGCGAGGTTGATTATGAGGTTCTGATCATATTGGGAAGAGCTTTCCTTGTAACTGGGAAGGCATTAGTTGATGTGGAAGTAGGGGAACTCTCCTTCTGGGTGGGTGATGAGAAAGTGGTCTTTCATGTGTGCAAGTCAATGAAGCAGCCCAACAGTTTTGAAGTGTGCTCTTTTGTGGATCCTTTCACGGCAGTGATAGTTGATGATACTAGTGCAATGATCAATATAGAGGACCTCTATAGGTGGTATTGTTGAATCTTGATGTAAATGAGGATGAAGGCCGAGTGGAGTGTGTCAATGCTTTATATGGAATGGGCTCTTACTCTTATGAGCCTCGGAAACTCTCTTTGGATCTTAAGAATAGGAAGACTCCACCAACAAATCCCTCAATCGAGGAACCTCCCGTGTTTGAGTTGAAGTCGTTGCCTCCACACCTTAGGTATGAATTCTTAGGCCCTAGTTCAACTTTGCCAATTATTCTTTCCTCTGGTCTTACTAATATGCAGGCAGATTCCACTTTGGCAGTGCTCCAAAAATGGAAGAAGGCAATTGGTCTTTAGCTGATATTCGGGGGATAAGCCCCGCCTTTTGTATGCACAAGAATATTCTTAAAGATGATGCAAATCCCTCAGTGGAACATCAAAGGAGGTTGAACGAGGCAATGCAGGAAGTTGTGAAAAAGGAGGTAAGTGGTTGGATGCTGGATTGTGTACCCCATCTCTGATAGCTTTTGGAATTCGCCGGTGCAATGTGTGCCGAAGATGGGTGGTATGACCGTGGTTACCAATGCGCAAAATGAGTTGATTCCTACTAGGATTGTCACCAGATGGAGGGTGTGCATGGATTACCGCACGTTGAAGAAAGTGACCCGCAAGGATCACTTTCCATTGCCTTTTCTTGATGAGATGCTAGATAGACTTGCTGGGCATGCCTTCTAGTATTTCTTGGATAGGTATTCTGGGTACAACAAAATTTTGATTGCTCTGGAAGATCAAGAGAAAATAACCTTCACTTGTCTGTATGGCACCTTTGCCTTTTCTAGGATGCCATTTGGTTTGTGTAATGCACCGGCTATATTTCAGCGGTGTATGATGGCCATATTTACTAACATAGTGGAGGACATTTTGGAGGTGTTCATGGACGACTTCAGTGTTGTGGGTGATTCGTTTGATGAATGTTTGAAAAATATTGACAAGGTGCTAGCCCGATGTGAAGAGACCAATCTTGTGCTTAACTGGGAAAAATGCCACTTTATGGTCGAGGAAGGCATTGTCCTTGGCCATAAGATTTCAAAGCATGGTATAGAGGTAGACAAGGCTAAAATTGAAATGATCTCAAAGCTTCCTCCTCCTACTTCAGTCAAGGGGGTTAGAAGTTTTCTTGGGCATGCGGGGTTCTACCGATGATTCATTAAAGACTTTTCTAAGGTAGTGAATCCCTTGTGCAAGTTATTGGAAAAAGATGCCAAGTTCAAGTTCAATGAGGAATGCATGATAGCTTTTGAACTCCTCAAGTACAAGTTGACCACCACTCCTATTATTACCGCACCCAATTGGAGCTTGCCTTTTGAGCTCATGTGTAATGCGAGTGATGTTGCGGTTAGGGTGATCTTGGGTCAAAGAGTGAATAAAATATTTCATCCGGTGTATTATATGAGCAAGACAATGAATGATGCTCAAGTGAATTACACGTTGACTGAAAAAGAGCTATTAGCTATTGTGTTCGCAATGGAGAAATTTCGGCCGTATCTCATGGGCGCCAAGGTCATAATTCATACCGATCATGCCGCACTCCGATATTTGATGACGAAGAAGGATTTCTAAGCTAGGCTGATGCGATGGATCTTGTTACTTCAAGAGTTTGATTTGGAGATTGTGGACCGGAAAGGGTGTGAAAACCAAGTGGCGGACCACTTGTCCCGCTTGGAGGAGGAGGGGAGGCGTCGTGATGGCCTAGAGATCAATGATTCATTTCCCGATGAGCAACTCCTTTCTTTGTCGGTGAATGGTATGCTATGGTTTGCGGACGTTGCTAATTTTCTTGTGACTGGTATTGTCCCATGTGAGCTCTCTTCTAACCAAAGGAAAAAGCTTAAATAGGATAGTTTGGATTTCTATTGGGATAAGCCGTACTTGTTCAAGATCTGCACTAACGGTGTGATCCGGAGGTGTGTCCCGGAGGAGGAGCAATTAAGTATCTTAGAGGCTTGTCATTCCTCCCCCTATAATGGTCATCATGGTGGGGCGAGGAACGCTTCGAAGGTTCTTAGTTGTGGGTTTTACTGGCCAACTTTGTACAAGGATGCAAGTGAACTTGTAAAGAGATGCGACGAATGTCAAAGAGCGGGTGGAATTTCGAAGAAGGATGAGATGCCTCTCAACACTATTCTCGAAGTTGATATTTTTGATGTGTGGGGCATTGATTTCATGGGCCCGTTTATTAGTTCATGTGGCAACACATACATTCTAGTGGCAGTTGACTATGTTTCAAAGTGGGTTGAGGCCGTGGCTTTACCCAATAATGAGGCCCGGAGTGTTGTTGCATTTCTCAAGAAGACTATTTTTACTAGGTTTGACACTCCTCGAGCAATCATAAGTGATGGGGGTCTCATTTTTGTAATAGAGCTTTTGACACTTTGCTTGCAAAGTATGGTGTCAATCACAAAGTTTCTACCCCTTATCATCCTCAAACGAGTGGCCAAGTTGAAGTTTCAAACAGGGAAATCAAGAGTATATTGCCAAAGAGGGTCAATGCAAATAGGACCGATTGGTCAAAGAAATTGGATGATGCTCTATGGGCTTATAGGACTGCTTACAAGACTCTGATTGGTATGTCTCCATATCGGTTGGTGTTTGGGAAAGCTTGTCATCTACCGATTGAGTTAGAGAACAAGGCCATGTGGGCTTTAAGGAAGCTGAATCTTGAATGGGATGTGGTAGCAAATCTTCGTGTGGAGTAGCTTAATGAACTTGATGAATTCTGATTTTATGCCTACTCCAACTCGTCCTTGTATAAGGACAAGATGAAGTACCTTCATGACAAGTATGCTCGTGGCAAGGAGTTCAAAGTGGGTGATTTGGTTCTTTTATTCAATTATCGGTTACGTCTGTTTCTGAGAAAGCTTAAGTCGAAATGGAGTGGACCTTTTGAAGTGGTTCTTGTGACTCCTTTTGGTGCACTTGACTTGAAAAACAAAAAAAAGAGAGGTCTTCAGATTTAATGGGCACTGGGTCAAGCACTATCTTGGCAAGATTGATTACAGCCATGTGGTGGCACTGATCCATCTAAAGTGATTTGATGGTAACATGCATCGTGCCGCAATGTTAAATCAGACACTTCTTGGTTTAATTTTTGTATGTACTTGATTAATTTTAGAAATTTATAATTAATGGTTAGAGGTTGATAAGTTAGAATTTATCTGAGACATTTAGGTAAGATTTCCTTTACTTTTTTTCTTAAAACTCCTAAACTCTTGGACTCAAATATAATTGGGACTAAAGAGGTAAAAAGTGAGAGAGTGAAGTTTGAAATCTTGTTAAGATATGTGGCTTCGAGAAGGTTGCGTACTAAACGCGCTTTTGCCAAAGTGTTGATAGGTACAAAAGCTGCTTTACCACTTGTTACCGACATCGACGAAAAAGATAGGAAACCAATCTATGTCTGAATCCCGCTCTATAATGTAAACTATTTTCTTATGTGTATGTAGACCAATAAGATTAGGCCCATAATTAATATTTAATTAATGAGAAAATCTCATCCGTCCGATCGGTTACTTGATGGACGTATCGGATTAAGTGAGAACCTCTATAAATTGGTCCTCTCCCCACCCATTAGGGTTACCGTATTTTTATTCTCTCTTCCATCTCTAAAGGCGGCGGTAACATAAAGTTAGGGCAAGGGGCGAGAAATCAGTTTTGAATTAATGCTTTCGCTTCATGATGATGGCTCATGATTCAGGTATGTTTTCTATGACGATTACTTGTAAGATTATCATGTTCAAAATCCTGGTAGAATTATAGTTTATGCTTACATGTGGTATCATGAGCCTGGATATTTGAATTGATAATCTTCGTAAAAGAAAGATTATATTATTATGTTTGATGCATAACTGTTTTAATGGGATTTGTAATATTTTCGAATCTGATTCAAGTTCCTTTAATTTGACGATATCAATTCACCATGAAATTTCTGTTTCAAATTAACGATTCAGTTTGGCCAAAGTTTCTCTTTGAATGCCCTAAAGATAATATGTTCCAACATATTAAGACTATTATGAATGCATTTTTTTTAAAGTTAAGTTGCCATAATTTGATTTAAAATTAGGCAAGTTACTGCTTCACTTTAGGTGTAAACAAGTGCTTGTATGTATCTTTATTGCACATATCTCTACTTATGTGTTAGTATAGTTTTTTTTAACGGGTTGATATTATTGAAGAATGAGTTGTGTTTATTTGGTTTGGATGAATCTGTTTATTGATTGGGTTAGGGTTTATGTTTATTGGATCTTAATTTGTTGAAAAAGTTGCAACCTTTACCCGGTACCTGTGGTGGGTAGTAGTACCCCATAGATTAGTTGGGCTATTAGTTGATAAAACTATTTATTAATTATTTTATATATGTGATTAATGTGTAAATAGTTTGTTAATCACCAAAGTAACCAAACTAGATTGTTTAAAGTATTCACATGCATAAAATTTTCTGATATTTATTTTATGTATGCATTTATGTTTATATAGTTTGTTAGTCACCAAAGTAGCCAAACTAGTATGTTCATGAAAAGTTTGCATGCATAAAATTATAGTTTATCCATGGAATTAATGAAATGCCTATGATTAAAATAAATGGATAAATTAATTTTCACTATTGCTAGAACTTAAGGATTTACCCAAAGGTGAATCAATTATTCTATGAATAGTGAATATGATGAGGTAAATTAATTTTCTTAGTCAGATATATATTGTCTGTCCAAAGATGGCCTATATATTTGGTTAAAAATATTTAGTTATCTATTAAAGACTAAATGACATTTAAATTATGATAGTGTATCGTAGTATCTACCCAAAGGAGAATTGCAATATGCTTTAACTGTTTTGTTGAATCCATATTGATTTGTGAGCATGTATTATCTATTTTGCAGCTATTCCTTTTCATTCGCTTGCTTCGTCTGTTATTGTGTTCAATAGATTGAACTTCTCTGAATGGCGTGAACAAGTCCAATTCCACTTAGGTGTAATGGATCTTGACTTGGCTCTGCTGAATGATAAGTCCGCTGCCATTACTGATTCGAGCAGTGCAGATGAGAAGTCTTTCTATAAAGCATGGGAACGCTCTAACAGGCTAAGGCTTATGTTTATGCGAATGAATATTGCCAACAACATTAAGAGTACTATTCCACAAACAGAAAGTGCCAGGGAATACCTGAAGTTTGTGGAAGAACGTTTTCGTTCTGCAGATAAGTCTCTCGCTGGTACACTAATGGCTGAACTCACGACCATGAAGTTTGATGGGTCGTGCAGTATGCAAAACCATATCATCGAGATGACTAACATTGCAGCAAGACTTCAGACCTTGGGGATGAAAGTGGATGACTCCTTCTTGGTTCAGTTTATTCTGAACTCGTTACCTCCTGAGTATGGACCTTTTCAAATTAACTATAACACTATTAAGGATAAGTGGAATGTTAGTGAATTGTTCAGTATGCTTACTCAGGAGGAGTCGAGACTTAAGAAATAAGGGAATCATTCAATTAACCTCATGGGTCAAGGAGTTGGTAAAGGACTTAAAGTGAAGGCCAACAAGTTCAAGAAGAAGAAAGCACCTGCTAAAGCTCAACAGGATGCTAACAAGGAACATAAGGCAGATATGTGTCGTTTTTGTAACAAGGAAGGACATTATCAGAAAGATTGCCTGAAACGTAAAGCTTGGTTCGAAAAGAAA